AAAGTACACAAGATATTTGAAAAAATGAAAAATCAGCGTGTTCAGCATATTTGCAACAAGAATATGCTCTTATTCAATATTCAAAATTTTCGACAACTGGGACCTTCTTCCAGACGCACACACATTTCATTTGTGAAAATTCTAATCCTCATCTATCATCAGTTAAATATAACAAACATTAAATAGACCTGTGTGCACAAGATCCTGCCTGAAAAATTTTTTGTTACAGTGATTAAAAATACGAAGTGACTATTTCTCCGAATGCTCGGGAAAATAAACTTGATTTCTATTTCTCCGAACGCTCTGGAAAATAAACTTGATCTATATTTCTCCGAACAGTTTCCGTTCTCAAGAGTTTTTGGTTATTTGCGAGATTTAAGCGTCATCTTTCATTCTGCGATGACTGAGAAGAAGCATTTTTTGCATCAAATTCAATTTCTAGAGCTAGATCTAGAGATTTTTAAATGTCTGAATATTCAGACACTTCAGTTGTGGTTGGAGCACACCTCATTTGAAAATGCCTTCAAAAGGCACGGTGAGAAAATAGGACTGCTCTACCTAGGCAGTAACCTATTTTGCATAAATCACCCATAAAGTAAAGCAAAAACTAAAATTCTTTATATGTAAACCCCCCCCCCCCCCCCACCACACACGCACACTCACTGACACACACACACGCTCACTGACACACACACACGCACGCGCGGGGCCACTCCATTCGCAAATTATCGACAAATCTCGAGAACTGAAACCGTTCGGAGAAATAAAGTTCCAAGTTTATTTTCACGAGCGTTCTGAGAAATAGAGCCGGCCTTAAAAATAACCAGAAGTCACTTTGAAGTTTGTATAAACATTAAAGATGGTCACCATTTGTGATGTAGGTCTAAGCTATTCATGGCGAAATAAGGCGCTCGTAAATATAATTAATTTGAAGAAAATGGCATTTTCTGTTCTTTTGTCAATTCTTATTGAATTTTAGTTTTTTGACTCAACCCCTTTAAGGTCCATTTAACACTTTCCCCAAAGACAGGGGGTAATGCACCCAGTGACCACCTTTAACGTATTAGATGTATATCTATCAAGTTCTTTGTTTTAGAATCTATTCAAGCTCCATGTAATCTGGAGGAGCACACGTCATCAAGACTTCCAGATATCTTCTCTGGATGTAAACAAATGGATTGCGGACTTTTAAACGAACGGAACTATAAGATCACCTAATAATTATATTTTGCAAGTGGCTATTCTCTGGCGTCGCGCCGGTCAATAGATCGGAAGCTACTCTCCGGCGTCACGCAGCCGGTCTATTACAAATAAATTTCAATGTATTTGTTGGCGCAGATTTTGAGATACAATATCTAGGCCTAATTTTCTAACGTAACTTTATTCATTTCTTTGGGTCGTCCATTTGCTTATTCTAAAATAATGATTCTGTTTCTTTACACGAACAAAATTCATTTCGTGTCTAAAATCCTGTCTTGTCACATAGTATAGCTTGATGTTTAACTTATTTCTTGTTGTTGTAATTTTCGATAAATTTAAATATTTCGCGACCTCAGTGCTTTCCTGTCGTATCTCCATTTTTGTAAATAGTGAAAATGTGACTTCTTATGCTCACTCTTTGTTATGAACTCGCGTCACTAGTGGTGAACACGTTTCTTCTAGCACCTAACATAATTTTGAATTGGAAGAATTGAGGCAGTTTGTGTTTGAAAACCTATCGTATGTACCAATGGAAGTGGCAGGAAGTGGTGAAGTTTGGGGAATTTGCCAGACAAATAATTCATTAGTAATAGACCGGCGGTGTGACGCTGGAAGCCGGAGAATAGCAACTTTGCTTATTTTTATTTTCACCTCGGGTGAGAATAACGACAGCCTAAAAGAAAAGGAAGTGCCTATTTGCAACGCCGCGTTGCGATTAGCGCCAGTGCTAAATAAAACGCCGCGTTGCCATTAGCGCCAGTGCTAAAATTATAAAGCTTAATCTACGCTTCGGTGACGGAAGTTCTGATGGCCAAATGGACAGCCCGTCTGTGCTTGAAGCCAAACCATTGTTTTATGAGTGTTCGAATCCCGGACCTGGATTTTTTTTTTTTGGTCCTCTTCTCGACTGACCAACAAATTTTCCCCATAATTACAACTTGTTGCTTTGTAGTTTTTTTAAGTAGCGATGAAGCATGCACATTCTGGTTTTGTCCCCAAGAGGAGCTCTGTACAAAGTAGGCCTTAGTATAGCCTATACTTTTCCTTTTACCAATTTAGGAATTTTAGGCCTGGTTAAAGTTCAATAGTGGCTTTCTTGGTCTGTGAGTCTAATTATTATTATTTTTATAATTTTAGAAAAAAAACCCACAACCTTCCAGGACCGGGATTCGATGCCACGCTTGGAAGTACTGAACATTTAGACTTAGAGAATGTAGACAGCTTGTAACGCTCTCTAGGGCTCACTTAGAGATAATATTTTAGGGAAATCTAGAGCCCCCTCTTGGCATACCATCACCCGCGTCAGACCGTCAGTTGGCACGCATTCGGCCTAAAATTGGACAACCAGACAATTATGTGATAACCTGGAATGCCGTCTGCTATACAATTCAGTGCAACATTGTTTTGTTTTCAAGTTCAACAATTTTGAGCAGAATCAGACACCTGTGTGAGCAGAAATAATCCATTTCATCTCCAAAGGTAAGAACCGCGTTCAGCCATTATGGCTTGCAGATGCGCAAAGCGTCATGGGAAATAAGCTATTGGTTCTGTAATCGCACCCGCAGGATTCGTTTAGCTTTTTTATTTAGTTCATAAGGTGTCTAGTTACCGCCACAAACCATTCGTTGATCTTTGTTGTCACAATTGGCGCCGGTAGGGGGGGGGTGACGGTATGGGGTGTCAGATTTTAGGAAGGCATCCGATACCGTCACTATATTTTTTTACATGATGCGAGATTTGAAAAATACTTATTTCTTGACGGACTATGGATGGCATCTTAGTACTTTAGATTTTTTAGTTTCTATGATTTGATATAGATCTAGATAGATCTATTTAGACATAGATTCATTAGAAAATGAGCGACTTTATATTTTTCTTTTTTAATGTTTTAAACAAATTTATATGAAGGAAACTCTATCCCTTCCCTCCACCCGTTGTATGTGATGATGATGATGATGATGATGATGTTCCTCTGTCCAATGTATGTTGTGATGATGTTCCTCCAGCCACTGTTTTCACATGTTGTGATATTGTTCCTGCTCCTACTGCTTCTGTTTCAGAAGAAGAACTTGCTGGCCCTCCCCCAACTGCCCTTGTCTCTAGTTGTGAGTGGTCAGCTGATGCCCTAGACTTTTCAACCACAGGTCTAGAATTCTTGGGGATCAAATGTACCTCCGAGGACTTCCTGGACCCTGCAGCAAAGTTTCAGCTACCTTTGGTTTCAACACCAGCTCGGGATCCTGTAGATGACCAGGACCATGACTATTGTCTGGCTGAGCAGGCATTGAGATCATTGGAAGATGAAACTCTGGTGACACCCCAAGCCCCCCAAAAACTGCCTCAGGAC